GCGAGGTGGCAGGAAATAAGAGGAGAGAAGAAAGGTTCCTGGCTGAACAAGAAACAGGGATTTTGTGGTTAATGGTGGACACCTTGACCCCTAAACCAGCAGGATGCCTCACATGGTCTGACTCAAGCCATCACTGTATTTATACATGAAATTCAGCGGTAATAATTTTTTTTTAAACACGCACTATGCTTTTCAAGGTTGAAAATCATATGCAGTGACCACTGATGACTCATTGTGTTAGTTCATCTGTTCAGGTGTAGGGAGGGTTTGTGCTGATGTTATGAGTGAAGCAGAAATTCTTAACTGTTTATAACTTGTTTCTCACTAAGTCACAAGCCTGCTCGTATGTTTTTGGGATAACCCACAGCCTTCTTGGCTACCAGCACTCCTGTCATATGATATTCTGCTCTGTACTCATTAAATAACAGTCAGCAGAGGTTTTCCTTCCCCCAGTCTCTGCTTGTCACTTATAGCCAGTCCCATCATCCTATCATTGTAATGGCGATATGGATTATTTGCATGTGCAACTCAGTTGAAGGATTCAGTGCTGATTAAACAGGGTATATAATTAGAGGTCTTGTAAGTTGTTTTTTTAGGCTCTTGATGACAATGCTGTGTGGTATTTGATCTGGGCATTTTTTGCAGATAAACATAGAGTAGCAGGAGCCAGTTTGTTATTTTATTATCTGTTTATGCTGGTGTTTATTTTCTTGAGTGAGACTATAGCTACATTTGTCCTGGCTGTTTTTGTAAGTCAGTCTAATACTCCTAGCAGCAAGACACGCAGAGCCGTCAGCATTGACGATGACACCTCCCACCCCGCACACTCCCACCTCAGACTCCTGCCTTCAGAGAGAAGGTATTGGAGTCTTCAGGCCCACTCCACCAGACTTACAAACGGCTTCATCCTCCAGGCTGTGAAGATGCTGAACGCTGTTCACTACCCTCATCTCAATCTCACAACCATCTGACAATCTCTTTGTTATTTTTTGCACTACTGTCACTGATTGTACATAGTTTGTACATAGTTTGAGTCATAGCCTATTAGGTTATACCGTTTAGTTTTGGTTACTGGTATACTGGCTCTCTCGCCCCTCACAGGTTCAGGCCCTCCGGTGTGCGCGTGGCCCCCAGACCGGTCCGGTCTGGTGACAAAATAAAGCAAAATAAAAAAGCTGTAGCTTTACAACCTACAGTACATTCTTTGAATCTCTAATACTGAACCCATAGTGTTAATCAAGCCGGTGTAGCTTTACGTCACAGCCACTGTAGCAGTATACTAGCTCTCTCAGTTGTTGCAGCCATTTTCCTGGTACTGACGTAGGAAGATGACATCCCCATCCTTAATCCCTTAATTTTTGTTGTTTAGTAGTAGTAGTAGAGAGTTGTTTTTCCAAGCTGAGAAACAGGTGTCAGTCAGCCAAACTGGAGCTACTGAAATTATTTTTAAAAAAGAAAGAAAGATGCAGGGACTGATTCAAAGAGCTGGCATCATGCCTTGAAAATGGCCTGAATATTGTTACCGTGACTGATAGCAAACCTCAGAAGATGCCTATCTAGCACCAGATGTTTACTTTTTATCATAAATACCCCATGAGGAGATATAGTAAATGTATGAAAAAAAATATTCAGCCAATATGAAAAATTATTTTGATCCAGAAATATAATATGCACTGAAATAATACTTTTTATGAATTCCAGCAAAATAAATCTTTTTTTCCAGCTTTATACAGTGATAGAGTTGGTCATTCATATTTTCTGATTTCCTTCTTATTTCCTTTATGAAATATTCTGACCTGAGGCCTTTTATTGTTCATTCACACTAATAACCTGTGGACAGTCTGAGCCATAGGTGGTGTAGTTGTAGCTAGATTTGTATGGCTCACTTATACTGAAGAACAACAGAGTTGCAAGATTTAACTCAAAAACTTGTATGGTTTATCTAATCCTACTGTGTATATTTTAATCCCATTTTTATCGTTTTATCAAAATTTGTCACCATCTTTATATAGACACTATGCTGATTATGTGTTGAATGGAAAAGCTAGGGAAACTGTTTCCCGCTTACACCTACTTGTTTTACCTACTTTGTGGGGACCAATTGGAAAATTTTCACATCTTAATAAGTTCGGCATACTTTCAGCTAGAAAAGCCATTCAGGTATCAAAATGTTCAGCTCTTCAAGGACATTCCTACTTGTATTTATTGCATCTCATCCTTTAGATTATTCAACAAAGAACTTCAGCCATTTCTTCTGAACTATTTCAACAAAGAACTTCAGCCATTTCTTCTCATCCTTCACCTGTTTCAGCAATTGATTTCAGGCATTTTCAGGACGATCTTTCAGCTTTTATAAGCATCCACACACATTTACAACAGGAAATGCATTTCTCTAGTTTATCCTTATTACTTTAATTCAGGCTTCATATTCTATTATTCTGTGTTTATTCCACTTCTATTTTAGTTTCTTGAATGGTATAATCATTCAACATTAGGTGAGAGAGAAACAGTATTTAGATTTTTCTGTATGTCCTGCACATATAGTGAATTGACAATAAAAATCTTTGATCTTTGATAGTGAGAGAGAGAGAATAGATAAACTACCTAGCTAGATATAAATATCTAGATGGATGGATCCACAGTTGCTTGAGAGACAGAATGCAAGATAAGGAAAAAGAGTTCACTGGCAGTCGCTACACTTTTGGATCCACGCTTCAAGACCTTTGGATTCACCAGTCCCATGTGGAATCCACGAGTCAAAGAGTGGCAGCCGGTGTCAAAGAGCGTCTAATAACAGAATGTACAAAAATTATCAACATAAACCATGCCCAGCAGCATCAGCACCCATCCACTTCACAAGCACTACCTCAGCTTCATCCACCAGCAGCAGCAGCAGCCTCCACAGGTATTTCTTTTTTAATTGATTCTGACTAAGGCATGTCTAGTGACATTTCTTCAATATTTTTCACGAGTTGACCCTGTGCAAACTTTTGGATCACGATGCACATGGAGCCAGGCGCATGCAAAGCGCCACAGCTAATGAAGTTGTGGAAGTGAACCAATACCTGGCTGATCCCCGCCCCCGGAAAGAACTGAGGACCCCCTCACATACTGGGCCACCCATAAAACTGTTTACTCAAACCTCTATAAATTATCCAAGCATTTCCTGTGTACCCCAGCCTCATCTGTGCCATATGAATGGGCTTTTTCCAAGGCTGGGGAAATAGTCTGTAAAAGGAGAAACTGCTTGTGTCCAAAAACTGTGGACATACTGTACTGTTATTTCTTAGTAAAAACTCATAAACAGTTACCGCCACCTTCTAGACTGGAGTGTGGATTAAAACGGCCCCTACCTACTACTATAACAAAATAACCCCACTCAGTTGACTTTATATTATCTTGTTTAACCCTGTGCTCTCCAAAGACCTAATAAGTGCTCTGTATCCTACATCCCGACCTTTGTCCCAACACCTCCGGTAAACTAAAGTTGATTCCACCTCTTAAAAACTGTATTTTTGAGTAATTCCCTCTCCTGCCTGAGCCTGGGACAACTCATTAGAACATGTTGAACAGTTTCTTGTACCCTACACATTTGACATTCCCCCGCAGTATGCATTTTTATTATCTTCAATGTACTTTTTAAACTAGTATGCCCATATCTCAGTGTTAGCATATCTTCTTCCTTCCTATTTCCAGTACTTCCTCTCATTTCTCCTACTTTCTTTTGAATATTATAATAGAACTGACCCTTGCCATCTATCCCACAATTCTCGCCATTTCTCTTTCAGTTAGCTTATAATTAAACTCTTAATCTTCAGCCTTACTATAGCTTACTTTGACACACTGGTCAAAAGAAGTTAGTTATAATATATGCACATATACTGTACATATCTTCCTAGAATATCTGTAGCATTTTCTGTATGAAATTTGTTGTTTTATCAATATCAGAAAGTAAAGAAGTGCTCTTCTTTTGCTGAAAAAATAATATTAGATTAAGGACTGAAAAACTTCACCTACAATGATAGTCAAACATTATACTGGGATAAGTGATCTGATGACAGTAATGAAAATAAAATGCAACAAATCTGTAAACTAAACTGATTATACATGATTTTGAGTCACAGCCTATTAGGTTGTATCATTTAGTTTTATCCAAGTTACTGTAATTTCATTTTCTTATTCTATTTTTGTTTCTTAAATTGTATGGCATTCAAGTATTAGGTGACAGAAACAGTATTTCAATTTTCTGTATGTCCTGCACATACAGTATAGTGAACTGACAATAAAAATCACTGATCTTGTTCTTGAAACTAACAAAAATAATACAGAGAATGCAGGGAATGCTTGCAGCAACAGATACAATGACAAAAGTACTCTAACATTTTAAACCAAACCTAGAACAAGTAAAAATGTTATGGGCTACAGCAACACTCCATTATATAGTTTATTGATAATTCAGAACCTCATCATGTCAAAAGGACTGTAAAACTGATCTCCACTTAGACATTCTTTCCAATACAACAGCCCTGACAGCATTTTACATATGTAAAATTCCTGTGAAAATCAGCTACTTATAATACATAAAAAAATAAATTAACAAAACTAGCAAATATAAAACAAGTGAGTAGCATATATTGTCAATTCCCTGATGCAGAAAACATTTCTAGCACAACTTCATCCACTGTCAAGGTGCATAAACAAGGGGAAAACTAACCGCAAAACAAGATGTCCAGCAACATTCACAGTGTTTTGCAACTTTAATGTAAAGACCTAATACCAACATGTTTCAGCAAGGAGACTTCATCAGGATCTGTTTAAAGTACATAACAAAAAAAATAGTGGAACAGTGATTTGTGCTGTCTCTGGGTTCATGCCTTGGCCAAACCAGGCAACCTTTCTGTGTGGAGTTTGCATGTTCTCCCTGATTTTCTCTGGGTACTCCAGCTTCCTCCCACAGTCCAAACTCAGGCAGCTTAGGTTGATTGGTGAATCTAAATTGTCTGTATGTATGAATGTGGTTGTCTGTCTCTGTGTTAGCCCTGTGATACACTAGTGACCTGCCTCTTGCCCAGTGTAAGCTAGGGTTGGCTCCAGCCCCCCCACAACCCTCTTCAGGATAAGCGGTATAAATAATGGATTGATGGATACCACATCTAATGAACATGCAAGAAAATGCAGACTCAGGGCAGAGCCACAGCTCTCCCGAAAACTGTTCAGCAATGTACCCAATTCACAAAACATCATAGGCCTCCCCAATCACAACAAAAACAAATACAATGCAAACAAACAACTGGGCAGAATTAGAACCACAGTACAGCACAGGAAACAAAAAGATAAGATCTAAAGTATAGGTGTAAGAGAAAACAAAACAAAATATAATGGAGGCAACAAAAATAGGGTACACAACTGAAGCCCAAGAGGTTAAGAAAAAAGGGTAACAAAGCGGCCCCACTGTAGAAACACATTAATTGAGAACCTTCTGGGGAGGCCCATGATGTTTTGTGGACTGGTTAAATTGCTGAATGCCCGTTGGGAGGTACAACTACATTACCATATACCTAACCTATTTATGTGCATATTTTTTATTGGCCAGTATGTATGAGAGTGTATATTATTGTCTTTTTAAAGGATTTTTTTCTATACTTGTAATACTTAAAGGACTTTTTGTTATATACTTTTAATAGACCCTGACGAAGGCTCCTTGCCAAAACACATTGCTCTTTGATCTTTACATTAAAGTTGCTCAAAACACTGCAAGTGTTGCTGAACCTTTTGCTTTACAGTCTTCTTCCCCAAATGTCACCACATGTCCAAAGTTTTTCAGCTCAAGCTGCAAGAAAAAGTGAATAAAATGAGACAAATCAATATGTTATAAAGAATTTGAGAGTCTTGCATGGTTATCTGTCAGCAGCACCCTGGTCAGCTGCTGTGCTGTTGTCCGCTTTGGATGCAGATGCACGCAATTTGCTGAGATCTGAATGGACAGAAAGAGGAAGATGAATTAAGTTGGCAAATGGTCATAAACAGGGTTCCCACTCTTTTAAATCATATGTGTTAATCTATGACATTATTTTATCTGAATAACCAGTCCTTAGGTGCTTTATGGCTAGTTGATTATTGATGCCTGTCACACACTCCCACACACACATGTATCAAATACTTATTTTATGCAATAAAATGGAAATAAATTATTTAAAAATCTAACAATGTGATTTACTGGAATTTTTTTTGTAGATTCTGTCTCTCACAGTTGAGGTGTACCTACGATGAACATTACAGATTTTCAATAAAGCTTATTTAAAAAAATATATATATATAAAAAAAGGCATCCATGGGGCCATTGTAAAAGTGAAATTTTTTCAACTGTGCCTGGTTTTGTAGCTTATTTTACCTCCTGCTGCATTGTGACCAGAGGATGTGAAGAAAAATACAGGGTCTGAGGTTACTGTATGTCTGAGAATGTTCCTGTACAGGGACTCGCTGTTTTACCTGACCGGCTCTAACCTACAAGCAACCAGCTAGTGAAGCCCCCCGCGGTGGTGAATGATCAGCTCATCAATGATGGATTCCCCTGGGGCACAGAATGTTTATTTTGACTGCTTTAGGCCAGTGTGTCTGCCACATGTGATGTGTTGCTGGTTAACGAGCAGATTAATGACCCATGATGTTACTGTCGGTGCTACGCTACCTGTTGGAATTAATTTCACTACTTTGGAACTGTATGTGGTCGTGTGGGGGAATACACAGTGAGTATTGGATTTACCACCCTTGGAGCTACTTGAAATTGAATGATGTTTGCACTACTCCATGGGACTTAATGGTAAGTAAAAAAAAAAAATAAAAAAATAAACACAGGCTGCATGTCTGTTAATGCCTTGTTTCTGTAACATTAGAGAGAATTGTTGTAAGGCTGGAGAAGTTACTATGTCTGCATTATGCCAGTTAAAATATGGGGTTTCTCAATTAACCGCTTTGTTTAGAGTGTTACAAATCTCTTTTCACCGGTACATATACCGTTATTTACCTATCTATGGAGGGGAAATTCTAATTAATTAATGCTGTCATAGTTCATTGTGCGGTCCACTTACAACACAACACCGGCAACAGGAGCTGTGCACGTTCACAAACTATCCTCTTGTTTTTTGAATAGGCTCTCTGGTTTTATCAATCTGAAATAATTACACAGACTATTTAGAGTTATGATGGGTGCCAAGCTAATCTAGAGGTAACCAAGATTAAACATTAAATGGCTGGAACCGTACTCCTGCAAGGTCTGCCCTGCACTTTGTTAACTATTATAAATTGTTTGGAGGGGTTCGTGTGCTGAAGCAGGAACATCCTTAAGTTCATACCCTACAGTATTTTGGATAACTTGCTGGGTCACCGAACAAAGGGGATGTTATAACTAACGGGAAACTAAAAATTTGGCATCAACAGGGGTAAAAGCTGAGATAAAAGCTCGTGTTAGGATGTATCAAGGGGAGCAAGCAGAGAAAAAGGCAGACAGAAGAGAATGGGACTGTCGTCGCCTCTGGCTGCTCATGCACAACCACTTCCTCTGCAGAGAAAAGGTGATTCTGTAACCAGCCTGTTTGATATTGTTATATTAATAAATGTTCACTGGAATTGTAGTGATTTGTCTGTGATTTAATTTGTGCCACCTCAGACTTATTCCACTACATTTATTTTCACCAATATAATGTGACATGGTGCACTCAAAAGCTATTTGGCTTAGGGTGTTCAGAGTTTACAAAAACATTACTAAAAACACATAATAAAACTCTACCATTGCTCTTCTAAGTTTATTTCACACCTTGCCTTAATTTCAGCTGCCAGCTCATGCTAAGATTTCACAGTTCACTCTCAGCAAAGATAAAACACAAAATATGAACATTATTTTCCAGGGTTATGCTGTGTTTCTCAGGGCATTGTACAGATTGTCTCAATTTTCATGACTTTTCCATAATTGGAAAACTCTTTTTACAGGTTTTCAAGGATGCTTGGGAACCCTGCATATAAACGAAAGTGAAAAAAAGAGCAGAAGCTGAAACTACTCAAGCCCCCCACCTTGAATCCAGCGGATCTGCGTGGCTGGACCATAGCCCTGCTCGTTCTTGGCTGCGATGCGGAAGACGACAGCTGGTCGGTTGGAGGCAGAACAGTCGATGTGAGCGTTGTCCAGGTGAGTGGAACTGACTGAGCAGGAAGTCTTGGTGCCACGGTAGATCCTGATGAACGCCATCTGACCTTGCCGCTCCGAGGCGGATGAGCGGCTTTTCCTCACTGCCATGTACATGGAATACTCTAGGATCCGGCCTGATGAAGAGGATGGAGCCTCCCATGTGATGTGGACCAAATCACTGGCCTAACAAAAACAAAAGTGTTACTGAAACTCCACATGCTACCCAGTCAATTTATCACATTTCCTTGTTTTGTTTCTGAATTTTCTCAGTATGCCACCTTGGTAATTTTGACAGCAGAGGGCGCTCCAGGGAAACCAGGTTGGCAGGTCTTGAACTCACTGACTGGGCTGAAGTCTCCCTGGCCAAAGCAGTTGATGCCTGCAACTCTGAACCTGTAGGTCTGACCTGGAGCCAGCGCCTGTTTCTCCCTGTCCTGGAAGTCCTGAGGCCTGGGCAGCTTCCTCTGAGGAGAGAGGATGATGTTAAGAGGAACAGATGAACAGAGGATGAGTCAGTGAAGATTCATGTTTGCAAAAGCTACATGAATAAGCACAGGATATGGCTGAATGACACCTTTACAACATCTTCATAACTACCTGCTTTTTACCTCTTTAGTATTTGGGGGCCGGCTGCTGACAGCTGTTGTCCCCTGGTCACTGTCAACAGGGAGAAAGTAGTGGGTGAACGCCGAGAAGAGGGTTTTGTACACTCCAACATCAAACCAAACTGCTTCATCTGGCTGCTGTTGGACCTGGAGGTGACAGTTTATATTCTCAGTTTAAACCAAGCCAAGTGAAGGAGCTAACAATTACTGCTCACAAGTGGATCTGACCTGATCTGTATGGGTGTAGACATCTGCTGTATTATCAGCTGGAAAAGGTTGTTTTTCCATCAAAGGGGAAAAAAAACATCCACATGAAGTGTTAAAATCCTGAAACTACTTCAGTCTGGTTTATCACTGACATATGAGCATTATCATTACCTGACTTATGCTGAGCTGAGCTGCTGATCTGTGTTGATGATGTCTCCTGTCCAGCAGCTACAACCAACAAACATGGGGAGTGCAAAAGGACATGGGATCAAAGCTGAGGCTGAAGCGAGAAGACAAGTCTATTGACATTTTGTCAGATGTCAGTCGTTTAGACAAACAACTGTTCTTATTTCCCTAATGCTGTGTGACGAAAGTAGTTCTGCTACTTCAGACGTACCCAATGGAACATTTATTGTCCATTACTAATTTGTCAGAACATACACTAAATATCATCCTGGGTAAACCAGCATTTTGAGCGTCAACCACTTGACAGCAAAACTTACTGCAGCATTTTGACTGGAAGTTTTCCAAGTTTCTCCCAGCATTCCTTCCTCGCTCTACTTGAGTTTCTGCAGAGCCTCTGCACGATTTCATTGAAGTTTCCTGCTGTGCTGCAGCACCCTGAAAATCAGGGAACAATTAAAGCAACAAGACATATTTACTATAAATAAGAAGCACTGTTAGATTATGGCACAAAACAAACTGCAAAGTCACATCTACCTGAGCTAATGCTTTCTCCTCACTATTAGTGGTTCCTTCAATCTGAGGATGAAGAGACTGGACGCCTTGAAAAAAAGAGTCCAGCAAAATTTGAGTGTAATGACACAAAGTTCTTTGTATGTTCTACATTTGCACTAATAATGTTCATTTTCTTCCACCAGTGTATTTTTATAGGGTACGGAAACCATCCATTTAGTATGCTCCATTTGTGTCTGGTATTTCAATTCCGTGTTTTTTTTGCGCGTTGTGCTTAGCCCCTAAAAGTAATGCAACTCATCAAGAGGATGACTATGCACCTGCAGGGTCTTTATCCTTCCCCTCTTGTTCACCTGTCACAGCTGGACTGACTGGTTTGGCTGGTGGGTCACTGCCTGCAGTGTTTGGAGGGCACACAGGTTGGATCTGAAGGACGTAGCAGTCTGCTGCCCCCAGGGGGCGCCATGCCACATGAAGCATGCTGACTGTGGATTTGATGAGCAACACCGCCTCTGGGGTGGCAGGTCGATCTAAGGACAGAGTACAGGATGTGATGCTGGGTGCTATTGATGATAGGTTGAACACAGAGGTTTTAGAAGTGTGCGTCGATTACTCAAGGCAGCGGACAGTGAACCTTTGTGTTGAGGCTTGTATTGTTTAGAAAATGTGACCTCACTGATGGCATTTGACGTTTCATCTGGGCTATTGATTCAGGAAGTGCTTTGAAGTTGGTGGAATGTTTGAGCATGTGTTTGAGATATAAGGGGACAGGACAGACTGCAAAGTTTGTTGTTTTGTAGAACTGGAGATCATTGCAGTGCAATTGTTTGCCAATAATTATATGGTCATGACATCAGCACCAAAACAGAAGTTATCCACAGAATGGGAACATTTCAATTTAATATCTACCAAAATGCATAGGTCTACTGTACGTGCTTTTCCTTCAGAGCCTTAGTAGCAAAATTATCTGTATGACCATATGTACAATTTATAGTTGTGTTGGGTAAAAATGTAGCTGGCGTGTATGTAGCCTACCACCACACATAAGCTATTTCTGTAGTCCTGCATCATGCAAACAGCTTTTTTTCTAAGGCTGGGGAAATAATATGTAAAAAAATAAAATAAAAATTGAGATCGAGCCCAAAGAACATACAGCAAATAAAGTTTTATAAATTAAAAAAAAAAATTCCCCTTCCCTGCCCGGTATTCATTATACACATATTAAGCAAATATTGTTTATGAAGAATATCACCATTACCCCACAAACTGTCTTCCCACATGTGCGTTAAAGACAGCTTTCCAGAATAGGCTGTGGGCATTTTGTTAATGTTAACAATAACAATAATATAACAGCCTACAATTTATTGTACTGGAGGCACAGTAGGCTAGTCATAGTTCTGAAGGCAAACGCTTACAGAGTGACATGTCACACACGTGAATTTTTACTCCTTATTTCATGTATTACAGAGAGCGGTAATAATATCACAAACGCCACAGGATTCATTTCATATTTTGAAGAAACACTCTCAGTCGTTTAATCTATAAACAAACATAAGGGTGAGTTGCCCTGCGTCAGTACAAATTCCTGTGGTACATTCTTTTCACCACTAGGTGGTTTCATGTGCACTTGAAGCTTCGACAATTTTTTGCTTCAAATGGTTGGAAAGCTTCAATGAGGTTTCATCTTTTCATCACTACTAGGTGCATAAGCTTGAATTTTACTATGTCACTCTTCTGAAAATAAGTCCTCACCTGTCTCCAAGTACCAGAGGTCCTTGCAGCAAACCTGGTAATTCCAGCTCTTACAGTATCCATCTCGGCCGCTCCAAACGTAAAGTCTGGACCCAACGACGGCGGTGCAGTGGCCAGCCCTGGCTCTTGGCCTACAGGCATAGGGGTCATCTCTCTGGGGTCCCTGGCTCTGCAGTTGGGACTCAATATCATCTCGCTCCTCTGGGGCCAGGTTCTGCCAGTTCATAGTGTCTGTGACAGGAAAACACAGCAGCTGTGAACTTGCTGGCCTCTATGAATGCAGAAAGCCCATGGATCAAATCAAAAACAAGATGCATCACCTATGAAATCAGACTAGTGGTATGAAAATCTTAGATCAAGTTTTGACAAAATGTGTAACACCACATTTAACACAATGTTAAAACCTTAGATTTTTATGTTAACTTTTTATTTCCGACAGAAAAATCAATATATTAAATATATTAGTCAGACATTCCAACACTTTGAGTGATTCTGAACAATTTCCAAAACCGCTCACAACCTAGGAACTATGTAATTTCAATTACGTTTTCTGTTTAGTTTTTACTAAATGTGAGTGTGCTGGATATTTGTAGTTACTCACCTAAGTTGAGCACACTTAAAGAGTTAGTGCAGATCCATTTGGTTCCTAAAGCACCGTGTTTTTCTGACTCAGGAACAGGAATCCAGCCTCCAAAAACATACATCCTTCAGGCATATGGATACACCAGTCTGTCAGAGGCCAGTGTGGCCAGGTGTCACATACAAGATAGACATCTTCTTTAACAGACACAGACAGTCAAGAGTCCCTTACTTGTTTCCAATAACATTGGCAGAGTGAAGGCTTCTGGGAAGTGGTGTGGAACCCCTGGTCTCAGGCATAGACCAAACCATTGTGTCTGAAGGAGAGAGAATGAGAGAAATAAGCACATTTAAATATTTAGCAGTACAGACCACCATTTTATATGACTCCAGATAGTATCTTAAGGATGCAAAACATTTCAATTTTCCTTTCTCAAATTTGCATAGTCAATATATTCTGTCTTAAAAGGCCATCCTACCAAGGTCAAGCTGCCAGAGGTCATCTAATCGGCATCCTCGCATCCCTCCAAAAATAAAGATCTTTGGGGAGCCAAAGCTAGTATAAGCAACTGAGGTGTGGGACTCCCGTGCTGAGGGACCACCACCCTTCGTCTCTGGGATGCCCCAGCCTCTCACCCCCGAAACAGACTGCAGTTCCAACTCATAGAAGTCACTCATGTACCTAAGATGATAAAGTGTTAAAGTGTTAAACCCATGTATGCGGTTGTCTCTCATATAGAGGTTATGTCTCAAACTGTACCATTTCCAGTCTGCTGCCTAAATATAATTGTGGATTTACATGCCAGACTGGTCCACAGCCAGTGATCAGCCATTATGATCACCTTAAGTTCATTACAGGTATAAAGAGATTTAAAAGTTATACTTTAAGCATTATAAGACTACAGCGCTTGCTAAATAAAATGTAAGTAAGCAGATCCCACAACTACCCCACCACCAGCCCGTATCCAAAGAAAAAAGCATCTCTAAAACCACAGTTTTAAGAAATTCTTAACCAGATGTTATATTCCTTGTGTATATGTGCACACTACCTTGGTACATTGCTGTTGGGGTCTTCACTATCATTAGCCAGCCCTCCAAACAGGTAACACTTATTGCCCACAAGAGTGAAGCTGTGTCCAATCCGAGGGCAGGGAGGTGAGCCATTCCTGGGAGCTTTGGGCTTCAGTTTTTTCCACAGCCAGCGGCTAGCCTGAGCCACACAGGTCCAGAGACCAGACTTTAATATGTTCTACATAACAGCACCAGGGATTGAATGAGCACAGAATAAATATGAAGCAAGTACCTGAAGTTCATATAGACTGTTGGTGTATTTTCCAAATTCCACCATGCCCCCAAAGACCAGAATTCGAGTGCCTTCACAGATGAAGCCATGGGCAGCACAGCCAGGTGGGATGTCACCCCTCATTGCAGGAAGAAACCACTGCTTGGAGACTGGGAGAATGGGCAGATCTCAGGCATTGCACTGAATACAATATTCGGGCACATGTTTGCTTTTAGATGTACACTCAATTTGAACACAGCTCATATTTTTGCAGCAGCTAGGTAAATATTACCTGAACTAACACCTTAGTCCCTAAACGGGACTAAACACAAACGCTAAATTTTAATGACATTTTTTCACATAATGACCTCAACAACACACAATCTATACAGAATCTAGTACAATAATGAATGTGTCCATTAAGTGCAAAGTGTTAACACGTTAATTACATTACCTAAATAAAAGCCTCCACCAAAACTAGGATAGCTACATATTCATAGGGTTTAAGCTACGTTTAGCTGTGTTGTTTTGGCTCACTTCTTGAACTTCAGCTGTTCACTTAACCAAATGACGATCTCATTCCATGTTTTGTGCTCCGTGTCTTTGCTTTTAAAGAGTTGTTAACAGAATCTAGCTAAACATATGGAACTCTAATTCGTGGATAGTTCGCAATAACAGTCCCGTAATCCCACCATACAAAGTAAAGGTAAAATTTTCGAGGAACTTGTCAGCAAACAACCAAAGCACATAGCAAAGGACCTGTTAGCTGGTGTGTTTTTTCATTCCCGTGCATGCTAAAAACAATGGCTGTTAACCTGCTAGCCAGCGTCCAGCTAACAGTAGCTTACCAGTATTATAAACATGGAGGTCCTCCGCTATCCCTTCGTTTCCACCACCGAACACAATAATCAGTTCCCGTATCGCTGCAGCTCGGTGTCCGTGTCTGGAACGTGGTATCACCCCTGTAGCGGAGTGAACTTTTCTCCATCGGGGCTCCTCAGTACCAGCACTCATTTTCCCGTGGGAGAACAGATTTTGGCGGTGTTGTCGCTTCAAATACGTGGGCGGGGCAAAAGGAGCATTCGACCGAGGGGGTGGAAACCAAGAGAAGATTTCACTTAACAGGTATCAAATTTAAGATGTCAGTGAAATACTCTGTTGGACCCAGTTCTTTTCACCGTTAACTCCGAGAGACGAAGCAGTCCGAGTAAGTGTCTGACCAATGTCTATCTGACTAAAAATGCCTAACAACTCCCTAGCTCGCCAAATAAACACTGACAAAACAAGAACTAGCTGGTGATTCTAGACATCAGTTTTGTTTATATATTACTTAATATAAAACAAAAAAACAGTCAGAGAACAGCATTTTTTTGTTTTTCTAAGATTACAAATATCTGTTTTCCTTCATGATTTTACATAATAGGCTACAACATTTTTTTAAATCACACCAAATATAATCAGCTTGTATTTATTAGATTGTTTTTCCTATAGTCAGATTTGTTTTGTTTTTTGTTGTTGTTGTTGTTGTTGTTTTTCAATTTTTCTATTTTTTCCTCTTTCCATTAAAGGATGCAACATTTTCATGTCAGCTAACCCTAACACATGTATGCAGCATATATGATGAGTAGATAGATATAAATACTGTAAGATTTGAGTCTTATGGACTCTAGTTACTTTATCAGCTTTAGTTACTTCTCATACCTGTAGTTCCTTTTAGTTACCTTTCATAACTTTATCTTACTTGTTTATGCCTATTACAGCTGTATTGATGATTGTCCAGAACTACTGAGCTTTGGTTATTTTAATACATTTGTTTCCCTTGCTTATATATCTTACAGCTGTAATGAAGCAGAATCTGCTTACTTTGAATGCTGTAAATTCCAGTGATGTGCGGTGAGGTTGACAGCTGGTGAGGCACTGACTCTTTTACAGTCAGATTTACAAATACAAATGAACCGTTAACAAATTGTCTGTTAACAGACAGTGCATTATGTTTTATATCTCATATCAGCATTCTTCACACAAACGTGACCCATATTTAATTTGAGGTTAAAATTTATTCCAATTGAGCTTATTTCTAA